CCCAAGCATACTTCCAAAGTTGTGGCAAAATGGCTTAAGGACAACAAAGTAAAGGTATTGGAGTGGCCATCACAAAGCCCTGACCTCAAGCCTTTAGAAAATGTGTGGGCAGAACTGAAAAAGCATATGCGAGCAAGGAGGCCTACAAACCTGACTCAGTTACACCGGCTCTATCAGGAGGAATGGGCCAAAATTCACCCAACTTATTGTGGGAAGCTTGTGGAAGGCTACCCGAAACGTTTGACCCAAGTTAAACAATTTAAAGGCAATGCTACCAAATACTAATTGAGTGTATGTAAACTTCTGACCCACTGGGAATGTGATGAAAGAAATAAAAGTTGAAATACATCACTCTACAATTATTCTGACATTTCACAATTTTAAAATAAAGTGGTGATCCTAACTGACCTAAGACAGGGAATTGTTACAAGGATTAAATGTCAGGAATTGTGAAAGATTGAGTTTAAATGTATTTGGCTAAGGTGTATGTAAACTTCCGACTTCAACTGTGTGTATATATATACATTGGGGAAAAAAAGTATTTAGTCAGCCACCAATTGTGCAACTTCTCCCACTTAAAAAGATGAGAGAGGCCTGTAATTTTCATCATAGGTACACGTCAACTATGACAGACAAATTGAGAATTTTTTTTCTCCAGAAAATCACATTGTAGGATTTTTAATGAATTTATTTGCAAATTATGGTAGAAAATAAGTATTTGGTCACCTACAAACAAGCAAGATTTCTGGCTCTCACAGACCTGTAACTTCTTCTTTAAGAGGCTCCTCTGTCCTCCACTCGTTACCTGTATTAATGGCACCTGTTTGAACTTGTTATCAGTATAAAAGACACCTGTCCACAACCTCAAACAGTCACACTCCAAACTCCACTATGGCCAAGACCAAAGAGCTGTCAAAGGACACCAGAAACAAAATTGTAGACCTGCACCAGGCTGGGAAGACTGAATCTGCAATAGGTAAGCAGCTTGGTTTGAAGAAATCAACTGTGGGAGCAATTATTAGGAAATGGAAGACATACAAGACCACTGATAATCTCCCTCGATCTGGGGCTCCACGCAAGATCTCACCCCGTGGGGTCAAAATGATCACAAGAACGGTGAGCAAAAATCCCAGAACCACACGGGGGGACCTAGTGAATGACCTGCAGAGAGCTGGGACCAAAGTAACAAAGCCTACCATCAGTAACACACTACGCCGCAAGGGACTCAAATCCTGCAGTGCCAGACGTGTCCCCCTGCTTAAGCCGGTACATGTCCAGGCCCGTCTGAAGTTTGCTAGAGTGCATTTGGATGATTCAGAAGAGGATTGGGAGAATGTCATATGGTCAGTTGAAACCAAAATATAACTTTTTGGTAACAACTCAACTCGTCGTGTTTGGAGGACAAAGAATGCTGAGTTGCATCCAAAGAACACCATACCTACTGTGAAGCATGGGGGTGGAAACATCATGCTTTGGGGCTGTTTTTCTGCAAAGGGACCAGGACGACTGATCTGTGTAAAGGAAAGAATGAATGGGGCCATGTATCGTGAGATTTTGAGTGAAAACCTCCTTCCATCAGCAAGGGCATTGAAAATGAAATGTGGCTGGGTCTTTCAGCGTGACAATGATCCCAAACACACCGCCCGGGCGGAGTGGCTTCGTAAGAAGCATTTCAAGGTCCTGGAGTGGCCTAGCCAGTCTCCAGATCTCAACCCCATAGAAAATCTTTGGAGGGAGTTGAAAGTCCGTGTTGCCCAGCGACAGCCCCAAAACATCACTGCTCTAGAGGAGATCTGCATGGAGGAATGGGCCAAAATACCAGCAACAGTGTGTGAAAACCTTGTGAAGACTTACAGAAAATGTTTGACCTGACCTGTGTCATTGCCAACAAAGGGTATATAACAAAGTATTGAGAAACTTTTGTTATTGACCAAATACTTATTTTCCACCATAATTTGCAAATAAATTCATAAAAAATCCTACAATGTGATTTTCTGGATTTCTTTTTCTCAATTTGTCTGTCATAGTTGACGTGTACCTATGATGAAAATTACAGGCCTCTCTCATCTTTTTAAGTGGGAGAACTTGCACAATTGGTGGCTGACTAAATAATTTTTTCCCCCACTGTATAGATATATATATATATATATATATATTTATTTAGGAAAGACACCAAGAGACTATTTACACGCTATTCATATATACATATTAATCTCTACACAGTTAAATTAGATATTTAGAAAGAGGAGAAGCGCTGTGAAATAGCTTAACTGGTGGCAGAGCATTCCACGATAACATGGCTCTATCCATAACTGAGCGATGCATTAAATCTGTTTTTGGTTTGGTTTCTCCTTAACCCTCAACCATAAACGACTATCATGCATGTTGTTGATGTTATTTGTGTGTGTGCAGTTAAGGGCAAGGCGTGCTGCTTTGTTTTGAGCCAGCTGCAGCTTTGCTAGGTCTTTCTTTGCTGCACCTGACCATATTACCAGACAGTAATCAAGATGGGCCAACTTAACAACTAGTACAGTTGATCTTTGTGTCAAAAATGCAGAACATCTTCACAACAACACTGTCAATATGACTTGACCATGATAACTGACCATCCAATGTTACTCCTAGGAGTTCAGCTTCCTCAACTTGTTAAATGGTCACACCCTTTATGCACAACTCCAGTTGAGGTTTAGGTCTAAGAGAAAGCTTTGAACCAAATACAATGCTTTTGGTTTAGATGTATTTAAGACCAGTTTATTGTTAATGACCCAATCTGACACTGACTAACTCCTTGCTAAGACTCTTAGCGAGCTCACTGGCTGTAGGTGCTGATGTGTAGAGTGTGCAATCATCAGCATACATAATTTTAGTTTCTTGTAAGACGCGGCAAATCATTTGTAAAAATAGAGACGAGTAACAGCCCAAGGCAACTGCCCTGAGGGACACCGCACTGTACATATCTGATGTTAGAGAAGCGTCCATTGAAGAATACTCTGAGTTCTATTGGATAGATAAGTAACTCTCCAATCATGTGATGGCAGGTGATGTAAATCCATAAAAAGTGAGTTTTTTCAATAACAAATTATGATCAATAACATCAAAGGCTGCACTGAAATCTAACAATACAGCTCCAACTACCATCTTATTATCAATTTATTTTAGCCTATCATCAGTCATCTGAGTCAGTTCAGTACAAGTTGAGTGCCCTTCCCTATATGTACACTGAAAGTCAGTAATTAGCTTGTTCTTTTAAAAAAATAACCATTGTATTTGTTCAATGACACAAATGAAGTAAAATGATAGAGGACATTGCTCATGATACGCACCCCTCAAAATGATACAAATGTAACAACAGCCTGAGTGCACTGGACTTGAAACAAAGATACAGATGTAACCATGTGCCATGTAATGTACACTACCAGTCAAAAGTTTGGACACACCTACTCATTTAAGGGTTTTTCTTTATTTTTACTGTTTTTTTAATAATAGTGAACACATCCAAACAATGAAATAACACTTATGGAATTATTTAGTAAACAAAAAAGGGTTAAGTATATTTTATATTTGAGAATCTTCAAATAGCCACCCTTTGCCTTGATGACAGCTTTGCACACTCTTGGAATTCTCTCAACCAGCTTCACCTGGAATGATTTTCCAACAGTCTTGAAGGAGTTCCCACATATGCTGAGCACTAGTTGGATGATTTTCCTTCACTCTGCGGTCCGACTCATCCCAAACCATCTCAATTGGGTTGAGGTCGGGGGATTGTGTAGTCCAGGTCATCTGATGCAGAACTCCATGTCATCTGATGCAGAACTCCATCACTCTCCTTCTTGGTCAAATAGCCCTTATACAGCCTGGAGGTGTGTTGGGTCATTGTCCTGTTGAAAAACAAATGATAGTCCCACTAAGCCCAAACCAGATGGGTTGGCGTATCGCTGTAGAATGCTGTGGAGCCATGCTGGTTAAGTATGCCTTGAATTCAAAATAAATCACAGACAGTGTCACCAGCAAAGCACCCACACACCATAACACCTCCTCCTCCATGCTTTACGGTGGGAAATACACATGCAGAGAACATCCATTCACCCACACGTGTCTCACAAAGACACGGCGGTTGGAACCAAAAATCTCAAAGGACACATTTCCACCGGTGTAACGCCAATTTCTCGTGTTTCTTGGCCCAAGCAGGTCTCTTCTTCTTATTGGTATCCTTTAGTAGTGGTTTCTTTGCAGCAATTCGACCACGAAGGCCTGATTCACACAGTCCCCTCTGAACAGTTGATGTTGAGATGTGTCTGTTACTTGAACTCTGAAGCATTTATTTGGGCTGCAATTTCTGAGGCTGGTAACTCTAATGAACTTATCCTCTGCAGCATAGTTAACTCTGGGTCTTCCATTCCTGTCGCGGTCCTCATGAGAGCCAGTTTGAAGGTTTTTGCGACTGCACTTGAAGAAACTTCCAAAGTTCTTGAAATGTTCCGGATTGACTGACCTTCATGTCTTAAAGTAATGATGGACTGTCGTTTCTTTTTGCTTATTTGAGCTGTTCTTGCCATAATATGGACTTGGTCTTTTACCAAATAGGGCTATCTTCTGTATAACCCCCCTACCTTGTCACAACACAACTGATTGGCTCAAACGCATTAAGGAAAGAAATTCCACAAATTAACTTTTAAGAAGGCACAGCTGTTAATTGAAATGCATTCCAAGCGACTACCTCATGAAGCTGGTTGAGAGAATGCCAAGAGTGTGCAAAGCTGTCATCAAGGCAAAGGGTGGCTATTTGAAGAATCTCAAATATATTTTGATTTGTTTAACACTTCTTTGGTTACTACATGATTCCATATGTTATTTCATAGTTGTGATGTCTTCACTATTATTCTACAATGTAACAAATAGTACAAATAAAGAAAAACCCTTGAATGAGTAGGTGTGTCCAAACTTTTGACTGGTAGTGTATTATCTGACCAGCACTAGTGCTCCCAAGTCAAAATTCCATGTGCATTCTACAGGTCACGTTTATAGGTGAGTGTTAAAAAAATTATAATATCAAGATTAGGAAAAGTATCGCGGCACACCTGAGAACTCCTAAAGACAAATCAGTGTGCCGGTTGGGAACCACTGGTTTAACCAAGTCACCATAGTCACAAACTATAGATCTACCGAGCGTCACCATCTTCACCAAAATAGTGCTGTACAGAGCTCAATGTCCCTCAAGACCAGGTGTATCAAACTCATTTTCTTCAGGGGCCACATTCTCTCTTCGCTGAGGTCCAGAGGGCCACACTGCAAATGTAATATTACCTTGCAGTCTAATTCCACAAAAACAGTACTCCTGTATCAATGAAATGTTTGACCCTGACTGACTAGCTTTCATTTCAGTGACTGAGTGGGCAGGATACAGTGAATATGTTTGTGTGATTACCTAATATACGGTGTTGAAAAGCTACCACCTAGAGAAACAAAGTAACCAATTACCTCATTATTATAAGAAATCATATTACGCTTTCATTAAATGCCTCGCTATCACAAAATAGCCAATTATCTTGCTACTATGAGAAAGAAGTTATTACGACGTAAGTAAACTTATTATAAAATAAAAAATATCATTATAATGGCCCGGGAATCATAACGTTGTTCCAATATAATGCGTGTTCTTAGAACATGAATACACTGTGGTTACTGCAACTCATGTCCAACGAGGAGAGGTGGAACATTGTCTTTCTTTCTTTCCTTCTTTCTTGCCGCACTTGGTGATTTGTGGTGGGCCGTACTGATATTACACACTGAAACCCGTACATTTGTGGCTGTTCCCCGATGAACCCGCTGGTGTACTTTCAGGTTGCCGCTTTCAGTGAATCTCTTATCGCACATTTTACACTGGTAAGGTTTCTCTCCTGTATGGATTCGCATGTGTCTGCTAAGGTCGCTGTGGGAGGTAAAGCATTTGTCGCACTGTGTGCAGGAGAACGGCCGCTCACCAGTGTGGATCCGCCGATGTATTGTGAGATCGTAACATCTTCTAAACCTCTTCCCGCAATGCTCACAGCTTTTGGGGCGTTCATCCGTGTGTGTTCGTGAGTGTACCAACAAGGCACCTGAGGTACTAAAATTCTTTCCACAAACGGTACATAAGAACGGTTTTTCCCCTCTGTGCCAGCGGAGGTGACCGATCAGTATTTGATGTTGAATAAATCCCTTCCCACAAATAGAACAGACAAAAGGTCGCTCCCCAGTGTGAGTGCGTACATGGGATTGTAAAGTTCCTGCAGACCTAAAGCCTCTGCCACAATGTGAGCAAACATATGGCCTTTCTCCAGTGTGAACTCGATGGTGCTGTTTTAGAGCCACCTTCGTTTTGTATCTCTTCTCACACTGATCACAATGGAAGGGCTTCGCCTCAGAGTGAACCGTTTCGTGTCGTCTCAGTTCATATGAACATTTGTGACCCTTCCCACACTGGGAGCAGATGTACCGGTTCTTCCTGGTCTTCTTGGCTGAGGAGATTTCTCTCTCACTGACAGGCAGGGCGTTGTTCTCAGATCCAGCTTCTCCAGAGCCCAGGATCTCCTTTGGATGTTTCTTCTTGATGTGCTCCTGGAGGGTGAGCCATCTCCTGTTGGAGAACTGGCACTGTGAGCAGGAGAAGCCCTGGGACTGTGGGGGCTTGGCTTTAGCTTGTCCTGCAGGTAGAAAACACAGGAGTGTGAAATAAGGGCTGCTGAGTTCAAAGTTCCATTGCAGATTGTTGTCAGTAGCTGATGTTTTTTTATTATCCATGCAGAAATTTGTTCAGCAATTATAGAATATGTGTACTAAATCGTTATAAACTAGTGGAGTAAGAAATGTTGTTACTTTAAAATAAAAAAGTTTGACTACCGACCCCACTCTGCTACTGGAAAAAGTAATCAAACTTCACCAACTCAGTTCGCCAGTGTATGGATGTATGCAATGTATTCCGCCCTGAATTTCCTTACCATTGATGGCCACTAATGATGGCTGTTTCTGCTGCCCTGAGTTCCCAGAGGATTCCCCAGCCTCTTCCAGTCTTTCAGTGCCCTCATCACTTTCCTCATTGGCGTCTTCGTCCTCCCCACTGACTTCTTGCTGTCTCTCCTCGCCACTCTCCTGTTCTTTCAGTCCTTCAGGCTTTTCCTTCTCTCCGTTTCTCCTCACATCGCTCTCGTTCTTCACCGTGCCTTTTTCTCTGCCTCTTTTGGTCTGTTCAGACTTCAGTGAGGGAGCGAGGAGGGACAACGTGGACAGGATGGTATCAGAGTCATAGAACAAAAAATCTGGAAGAGAAACCACGTTTACATCCACAGTTTTTATGCAAGTAAAGTCATACCGTATATACAGTGGGGGAAAAAAAGTATTTAGTCAGCCACCAATTGTGCAAGTTCTCCCACTTAAAAAGATGAGAGAGGCCTGTAATTTTCATCATAGGTACACGTCAACTATGACAGACAAAATGAGGAAAAAAAACCCAGAAAAATCACATTGTAGGATTTTTAATGAATTTATTTGCAAATTATGGTGGAAAATAAGTATTTGGTCAATAACAAAAGTTTCTCAATACTTTGTTATATACCCTTTGTTGGCAATGACTCAGGTCAAACGTTTTCTGTAAGTCTTCACAAGGTTTTCACACACTGTTGCTGGTATTTTGGCCCATTCCTTTATGCAGATCTCCTCTAGAGCAGTGATGTTTTGGGGCTGTCGCTGGGCAACACGGACTTTCAACTCCCTCCAAAGATTTTCTATGGGGTTGAGATCTGGAGACTGGCTAGGCCACTCCAGGACCTTGAAATGCTTCTTACGAAGCCACTCCTTTGTTGCCCGGGCGGTGTGTTTGGGATCATTGTCATGCTGAAAGACCCAGCCACGTTTCATCTTCAATGCCCTTGCTGATGGAAGGAGGTTTTCACTCAAAATCTCACGATACATGGCCCCATTCATTCTTTCCTTTACACAGATCAGTCGTCCTGGTCCCTTTGCAGAAAAACAGCCCCAAAGCATGATGTTTCCACCCCCATGCTTCACAGTAGGTATGGTGTTCTTTGGATGCAACTCAGCATTCTTTGTCCTCCAAACACGACGAGTTGAGTTGTTACCAAAAAGTTATATTTTGGTTTCATCTGACCATATGACATTCTCCCAATCCTCTTCTGGATCATCCAAATGCACTCTAGCAAACTTCAGACGGGCCTGGACATGTACTGGCTTAAACAGGGGGACACGTCTGGCACTGCAGGATTTGAGTCCCTGGCGGCGTAGTGTGTTACTGATGGTAGGCTTTGTTACTTTGGTCCCAGCTCTCTGCAGGTCATTCACTAGGTCCCCCCGTGTGGTTCTGGGATTTTTGCTCACCGTTCTTGTGATCATTTTGACCCCACGGGGTGAAATCTTGCGTGGAGCCCCAGATCGAGGGAGATTATCAGTGGTCTTGTATGTCTTCCATTTCCTAATAATTGCTCCCACAGTTGATTTCTTCAAACCAAGCTGCTTACCTATTGCAGATTCAGTCTTCCCAGCCTGGTGCAGGTCTACAATTTTGTTTCTGGTGTCCTTTGACAGCTCTTTGGTCTTGGCCATAGTGGAGTTTGGAGTGTGACTGTTTGAGGTTGTGGACAGGTGTCTTTTATACTGATAACAAGTTCAAACAGGTGCCATTAATACAGGTAACGAGTGGAGGACAGAGGAGCCTCTTAAAGAAGAAGTTACAGGTCTGTGAGAGCCAGAAATCTTGCTTGTTTGTAGGTGACCAAATACTTATTTTCCACCATAATTTGCAAATAAATTCATTAAAAATCCTACAATGTGATTTTCTGGAAAATGTTTTCTCAATTTGTCTGTCATAGTTGACGTGTACCTATGATGAAAATTACAGGCCTCTCATCTTTTTAAGTGGGAGAACTTGCACAATTGGTGGCTGACTAAATACTTTTTTCCCCCACTGTATATATAAAATAAAATCAGGACAGCTCTTTTTTTTATTTTTATAAATGCAAACAGATAATTTGTTAGTTTGACATGGTGGGATTCTTTGGTGCACGAAAATGTATTATAGGAGAAATGGAGGTGGAAACGCCTTCATGCGCAAATATTGATATAGTAACCACCATATCGAAGTAAACTTGGCCACGTGATGATATGGTGTGTTGTCTTCCCACTACAACTCGGGAAACCATGCAGCTTATTAAGATACAGATGAAATAAATGATGAACTTCACAGGGTGGTGAAAGTGCACGGTGATGAGCTTGATGCTCCTTTCCAATAAATATTGAGGGTCTTATTGTGGTGACATGATGGTCGATGCTCGACTGCCGTTAGACAAATACTCCTCTCTCTTATGCATAATATTCTCATGTAAACTAGCCTACCTGCACTGTATCTGTGAGCTGTTAGCTAGCACTTTTGTGACAACTATCAGTGAAGTTGAAAATGCGATGGAAACACATTGAACTTTAGATTTTTATTCAGTACATTAAAACTTAAGCAAACAAGTACAGTGTGTGTGCACTACATCATCACGCACTGATTTGTATCCGCATTAACTCCATTTGGTGGAAACACACCACTGGTGGGAAAATGCGCACTTTTTCTTTATGCAGATTTTTGAATATTCGCATGAAAATCTGTTGCCAATTGGATGGAAACATAGCCAGAGAGAGAATCCAAATAACTCCAAATTCTCTTTCAGGACAATCCCCCACAGGCATTTAACCCAGAGGTTAACACAAGTTCAAATAGATCACCTGAGGGATCCTTACCTTTTTTTAGGTGCCCCAGATTTCTATGATGCTGCAGCAGTGTCTTCAGATGCTCAGGGTCAGAGACAGACTGCTGACACTCCTCCAGGTCAGCAGGGGTCAGTTTGAGAATGGATGCTGTCTGAGGGAGAGAATAAGCATGTCTGCAGAACAGAGAAAAGCACAGTCCAATCCCACATGACCCCTAGACCCTACCCCTTTGACACTTACTGATGTTTATTCATTCACGGAAGGGGGTCATTTATTTATTCATATTTTTTATCCTACATTTCAAGCATGTGTACAAATGAATGTCAACATGTTTTAGATGATCTAATAGGATGGAGATGGTACCTGTGTAAAGCTGGGCACTGGCAGCATCTCCTCCAGTCTGTCGAAGAACTGCCACACCAGTATCTGCAGCGCTGTGTCGTACCTAGTGCTGTACTGCACAGGGAACACCTCCTTCAGCACAGAGATAGAAAGGGAGAGTCGTGGTTTTAGTCAAGGCATATGTAGACATTTTATCGTATTCAATATTCGCCATGAGGTCATACTAGTCCTTTGAAAGAGGGATTTATGACATCTAGATGTTAGATATCTCACCTGAAAAAAGTGTTCCCTCTTCGCTGAGTCTTCTAGCAGAGTTTGGACCAGCTCCACAAAGTTATCCTTTGAGGCCTCCACTTCTTTGTCTTTGCTCTGAATATGTAATCACACACAAAACAACTGTAACCATCTACAATGAGAAAGTAAAGCAGACTTGCCATTAACAGACTGATGTGTGTTACAAATATTACAGGTTACTTACCCCTTCACGTGTTGTGCATGACTGGATTCTGTCCAGGTGGGGCTGGATGGTTTTGTAGTCAGCTGGGCTAGACTCCACACCTCGACACAATTCAAGAACCAGCTGAAACAGAAGATGTATGCATTAATAACGGCTGCCTGAACAATTTATACACTGAGGAAACAAATTGAGGAGTCAAATATGTAACTGATAATGAGTGAACAGAAGTTGTCGAGGAAATTGTGATGAGAGCGATCTTCTGTCAGCATCCCTTGTCTGTGAGATCCAGGGGCTTGGGATGAACGAAGGTCTGAATCTCACCCCACATTATACTTTAGTGGTAGACATTTTATAAATTTTTCTCCTGACCCCCTACAGTGTACACCATTCCTAACCCTCAACACTTCCACCTGTCTCACCCTCGCTCTCAGTCCCAGGATGAGTTGGACCCTTTGCCTGAACGTCAGGAGCTCCGGAACCATCTCTGTCACCAGAGTCACAAACTCCTCCAGCTTCCCATACTGCATCACGTTACGCTGCTGAGCCACTTGCCACATGGATGCAGACATCAGACGTAGTGGTGGCACCAGGAGACGCAGGGAGGATAGAGGGAGATGCATTTCTTTCACCAGAGGAGGAAGTTAGACAGCTCATGTTAGTACACACCATTGTTTTCGTGTGGCACTTGTGTCTTTGTAAAAAATGTGGCTATATGTTTGAAAGTACAATGTGAATGTCAAGTCTCATGGGCAGCGTTCAGACAGGAAGCCTAATTCTGATCTTATGACCAATCACATCAGATCTTTTCACATTAAACATTTTTCAGAGCTCATCTGATTGGTCAAAACACCAATTAATGAAAAAAGATCAGAATTGGGCTGCCTGTCTAAACGCAGCCATGGAATTGGACTGCATGTCTAAACGCAGCCATGGACTGCCAGTCCTTGCACCCATTAGCTCTTTAGCTAGCTATTTCTATTTCCCCAGCCGTTTGCTTACCAAAGTGGTAGGGTCAGGCTTGTCGACGTTAGACAATGAATACCATTAACATAACAATTCAACAAACCTGAAAATGTTGATGTAGGGTCCATTTCCCCATTCACTTGGGGAAACTTTCCAATTAGCTAGCAGGTGCGGCAAAACGTGGTTTAAAATGTTAGCTAGCTATGCATTGCCAACAAAACATCATCAACAGCTGGCCTGGCTAGTAAACAATATTTCTCCCTAAGACAGGGTTTTACTATTTTCTGAACTACTAGGCTCACCTTGTCACAATCGTTTAACTAGCTAAGTACTCTTTTTTTCTGCCCCCAGAAATGTTTTGAAACGAGTCTCTGCAGCTTTTCTTCAACAAGCTCAATTTCTTCCGCATTATGTGAGTCACGTGGTATGCAGCAGAGCCTTTCATTTGCATGTTGCGCCAGTGACCCCAACAAGGTGTATCATGTAAAGTAAACCACTGGAGGGAGGCAGAAACCTATCAAAGGAAAAACGGGGGTACGTCTCTATAGGTTATCGTGACTTCCTCACTTTAGCTTCTTGCCTTGCTTTTATCGTGTGAAGTTAGGTCATGTGGATATTTGTTTGCCATTCATGTTATTTTTTAACACCAGCAAACCATTCGTGTAGATAGATGCTTAGGGCACAACTGTATTATTGAGGGGGCGATATAGAATAGGTAGCATTTTTGGGGCCTCATCAAAAGATCACACACCTCTATGATGCCATGTACAACATACATAACGTGTTAATATGTCCAGGACGAGTTTGGTTTCCTACCATTCATCATAATCTATTTACATCCAACCACAGAAAGTCGCATTAGCGTTTCAACACAAATATGGATGAAGAAAAGGTAAGTGACTTCAACACATTTAATTAACTGAAACTGTATGGCTATTGATCAAAATCTATTGCAATAGTTATAAGAATCACAATTATATACACACAAAAATAAATCATATTTTTTCTCTCTGTTTCATAATTTTCCTATAATTCGCAAGAGGCTGAATGTATCTCACCCGAGAAAGCATGCGAGCGAGCGAAACAGCGCCCCTCTGTCTCTGTATGTGTAGCCCATCTATCAGATGTTGTCTGGTCAAAAAGAGTATGACATTATTGCCGCCCATAGCATTGAATGTAAGGGAAACAAGGGGGCAATAATAATAATAGCCAATCAACGTTGAGCTAAACTGAGTGAGCTCATTTGTGGATGGTCCTAGTGCACCAAAAAAAAATTGTCAAGGGAAGCCAATTTGGAGTTGGCTTCACAAAAATCACATCACATCAAAAGTAAAACGTCATTGACAGAAAACAATGTGAGTTGTTGCATCTCGTTGTGTTGTTGTCCTCCGGTGGCTAGCTAGCTATCTAAAATTGGCCCTTTCCTAAATTAGCAATGGATGGAGATAGGAATTTGGCCAATGATTATAACGGCAATTCTGATCCAACCATAAATTCCTATATTGTGCCCCTGGCCTGAGAGGATGGAAGTTCAATATGTAGCTAGATGTAGTAGCCTAATGTTAACTAGCTGGCTCATCGTTGCCCATGAAAGGAAGTTAGGCTAGCGAGCAAGCATTTTAGCCAGGTAGCCTAGGACAACAAAAACTAAAAGCGTGTACTTTATGACAGAGTCATAGACCTTTTCGGCAACATGAAAGAGAGGAGGATGGCATTGGCGTTTCTCTACAAGTAGGGCGAGTCAACATGTTCTTTCCACACACACACACACACACACACACACACACAGAAACACGTACACATACACAAAATCAGTACCATGGACAGCCACATGATATTTAGCTTACGTTGATTGGACTAAATAGTTTTGGGGATCTTTTAGTTGTCAGTGTATTAGACCAAGCATAGGTGATTTGGTGATGTTGTAGTTGAAATGGTGCTGGAACAGTGGAGGCAGCTCCTGTTTTCTTTGCGACTTGCAGTAACTGTCCGGTGTTGAAACTGGTTGAAACCTATTGTATTTTGCTCTGTGACTCAACTTTTCATAAGGCATCAAGGTAACGATATCTACCTTTCTCTTAAATGTCATTTGGACTACATTTAGGCCCAATACAACAAAGGGTGGGAATGGGGGGTGGGAATGCTAGCAACTGCTTCTAAACAGCCAGCAGGCCAACTTTTACAAACCACTTAATTTGAAATAGAAGTGACTGGCGAGATAGTTGATGTATAGGCTTTGTCCTTTTTGCTAACACCAGCTGTGGATTGCTTGGCTTTTGCTAGCTTGTGTGCACTCTGAGCCTGTGTCTCCCCTCCTCTTCCCCGCCGGTGAATTTAGAAAAGAATGAAAAAGCTGCTTGACATTCAACCAATCACAGACAGGCCTGTTTCTACCAAGGAGGATGATGTCATCTTTCAAGCTAATTTCAATATATTTTTTTAACGGTTTGTTTCAAAACCAAGTTTGGGATAGGGTTTTACTGAGTGGTTTTTCGCTAATTTATGGCCACAACTAAAAGTAAAGGATGAGTCAACAACATTATTTGGGTATGAGCAAATAGAATAGGAGGTTTTAAAAATTTGATTTTCACTGGACAGTTACCATAAAGGCAATTTTCCTGAAGCTTTCAGAGATTGCATTTGCAGTAAATGCTGCGGATGTTGGCTTAAGTGCAAATTACCTTTAAAAGTCCACTTGTCGACAATGCGCCTTTGATTGAATCCCAGTCAAAGTCGTCTTGTGTTCAGTTCTTGTGGGTTCTGGGTTTGTTGCGTTCAGGTCTTCTTGTTTTCAGGTCATCCTGCGTTCAGGTCTTGTTGGTTCTGAATTTCTTGTGTTCAGGGTGCGTCTCAAGTGGCACCATATACCCTACATAGTTTACTAGAGGGAATAGCATTTGGGACGCAACCAAGATCGCCTTGTGTTCAGGGCTCATATCCACAAAATGTGCTGCTCTACACTCTTGAACCTTAAAGGGTTTTTCAGAATAACCTTACCCAAATAAACTTTTTTTGTTCCATGTAGAAACCTTTTGGATTCCATGTAGTTCAACATGGACAGTTCTACATGGAACCTAAAAGGTTTCTAACAGGAATCGAAAAGGGTTTTCCTATCGGGACAGCTGAATAACCCTTTCGGGAATTTTTTTTCTAAGAGTTTAGGATATGTCCATATAATCTTATTCACTAAAAGGCAGAACTGATCCTAGATCAGCACTTCTACTCTGGCGCTTTGTGGATATGGCCCCAGGTCTTTGTGGATATGGCCCCAGGTCTTTGTGGATATGGCCCCAGGTCTTTGTGGATATGGCCCCAGGTCTTTGTGGATATGGCCCCAGGTCTTGTTGCTTTTGGGGTTGTTGTATTCAGGTCTTCTTGTGTTCAGGTCTTGTTGTTGGTTGTGGTCTTCTTGGTTCTGGTTGTGTTGACAGTGCTATAGACCACAGAGGGGTCCTCCTCAGCTGCTTGTGCCGGAGGTCTGATGAGAGACGCAACATATCATCACTTCTGGGGTCTCATTTTCTGTCATGATTAATTGATTGAAGCCAAGATCAAATTCAAAGCGCAGCACGCTGGACAGTCATGTTAAATGCTGGTCATGTTGTCTCAATTGGAAATTACCTTTAAATGTCAAGTGCATTAAAACTCGGATCGGATTGAATCCCGGCCTCAGATTATTTGACGATTTAAAGAATACATTTACAGACAGTACGTTAATTTTAATGTTACAGCATTTAAACCAAACAAGAGCTGTTCTGTTGGACATATAAGAGTTGTATGAACTATTAACAGTCAAACAAAAGTACAGTACCTTCCAGTTTCGAGATTATCTGTGATGTTTTAAAGGCAGGATTTACTCACCGGATGGCAGCAATGGGGTGGTTGAATTTCACAGCTGTGTACTGGATATCCTCGTCCTGCTTCTGCGGTTGAGGCAGTTGGACAATGGGGTACAGAGGCACTTCCTGATTTTTGGAGCGAGAGAGGTCGGCACTGGCGAAGTGAACGTCATTCTGCACACCTGTAGCCACTGTCTGTGATGCGGTAGGGGTCATGGCCATCCCTGAGATATTGTCATGAACAAGGCTTGAGTTTACCTGATGGGGAGAGAAGACAGAGAATATAAGCAGACCTGGGGACTATTCATTGGTTTCGTTGTGCCAGGCAAGATTAATCAAACACATTATCTGAAAGAAAACAAACACTATTTGATCTCAAGTCAACTCACCTGTCCATTCCCTGCTGTGTCCCTTGTGTCAGAGGTGGATTTGGAGGCCTTCTTCCTGTTTTTTACATGAATAAATGAATTTAATTATGTATTAACAAACTAATGGATGAATCAATCATTGAATAACAATCAAGTTAGTAACAAATCAAAATGAAAAAGTGAAATATCAGTCTTAGAAAGATACTCACCTGAACCACATGAAGCCAGAGAGACAGAGTATGAGAATCAGAACAACAACTATGATTCCTACAGATGCATTCTTCACAGAAGCTTGCTTCCCTAAAGCATAAAGAATGATATGAATGTTATCGTATAGTGTAGCTTGAAATAAAATAGACACATCTTACCAGCTACAATGATCAATTGAGGTGTAGATTTCTGGGCTCCAACTTCAGATACATGTTTTAAATATAAAAACCACATTTTACC